GCTCCACATTTGAATTTTCTCACTTCATATCATCATATATAAATCATAATGGCTGCCGTCTGAACTACGGAGTTAGTGGCTACACAAGAGATATTTTGGACAGAGTAATGAAATTTTGTGTGGTAATACAAATGCAAATTTTGTTGATGATTTTTTTCCATAAAGTAAAACTACAAGATGATGACCGCCTAAAATACATACATATAGTTGACCAAATTATTTAGAAACATATGAAATTATATTTGAAACTATACTCACGAATGAGTGTTTGGATTAGATTAAGTTGGACTTTTGTACACTTCAAATTAACTGTTTCAGGGGTTTGGAAGCCCGAGACTCAAGTTAACTGTTCCTGGGATGTAGTCAGCTTGTTATCCTGAGGGAAGAACCTTCCTGTTTTCTTATTCATGGCTTGCTATATCGACTGACCGTCTTTTTGGGACACACAGCCCTCTCTATGACAGAGTTTTATGGCTGCGAACTGCAGCGTACACTTTACAAAAACAGACCGAAACGTTCCAACATCTGATACAAGCCAACCAACCCCCCATGCTTAAAGCCTGTTGCTATGGTTTCGTATTGTTTTTGGACCGGCCTGGTTAGGTTAGGTTTCTGACACTTGACAATTTTACACTCACACAAATCCTTTTTACATTTCGATACTTTGAAACCAGTAAATCTAAGTAGTTTTTATCAGATGAAACTACTATAAAGCATTCCTTGAGCCCAGAGAGAGAATGGGAATATATCTCTCACAGAAATTGTGTTTACAATTTATTTTCCATCTGCTTGCTGATGCTCGGTGTGTCGTTTTAAACATTGTATTCTAAAAAATTTTCGATATTTTTAATATTTCTGGTGATGTACTGATTATCTAAATATAATATTTATCAGAATGGTGACCTGGCGGAATCTATTTTTAAAATTCCAGATAAACCTCAAATTTGCCTATCGACATTTACGCGGAAATTGGGGTTTTTGGAATCTTAATCGAAAGCATCGTTGACACAGTGGCAGAGCGGCATAAGTCTGAAACAAGGGAGCGAATTATAGGAAATCGTGCCCAAATTTAATCGAAGCTCATGCTATGTGAAGTAATCCAACCTAATCTTACCCGTCTATACAAAACGAATCTTAAACCAACCGTCCTTATATGACGCTGTTTCAGGCGTCAAAATTTTAAAACGCAATCCTTAATCTCAACTAACATATCACGTTTGAATTTATCGGTGACATAAACTTATGCCCGGTATCACACAGCGCAAGACAGCCCTTCCCAGTGATGGAAACAGCTGAACGATTCTTCAGAGGGGAATTTCATCTCTTGCGTCGGCTAAACTTTCCACACACCTGTTACATATCTGCCGTTATGAAGATTCCGCCTGCCTTTTATCCGGGGATATGGAAAAAGGAACATTCATTTGCATTCCATGGCCGCCTGTGTTCTAAGTACGCACTGCATCCATTTGTATCATTTGAGAGGTTGCCACGAGTCAGCGCCATATGCTAGTTTATGTAAACGGAGGCTGGAATTCGTGTTTTAAACCGCAAGTTTGAGGAGGCAATGCTGGAATCAATTAATTTTGAATAGTCCTTGAATTGCTAATTCCTCTGTTGGAATTGGGATTGTATTAGTCGTTAATGGCCCTTGTAAACGGTGTATTGGATTAAGCCTTGGTAAGTACCGTCAAATGGTCTCTGCTTTGTTCCCAGTAAAACAAAGCTGTGACAGTGTTTCGTGAGTTCTGGCCGTCTAGAACATTCGATATTCATCTAACAAGAAGACTTTTGCGGTAATTAAATAATGGATTAGGTGGGCAGGATTTGTAGAACGCATGGGGGAAACATAAAGTGCTGTGTTGACAGGCCGTTGATGGAAATAGCGTTTTATGAGTCTGAAATTTGCTCAGGAATCAGAAGGTCACTCCTTCGAATTTCGTTAATCATGGCTGGGTTTTTGTAACTTTATCAGTTTCTTCGCTTATTCTCTTGGGTAATTCATCAGATCTCAGCACGACTTAGCATCTCATAAGACAGCCATCTTAACCAAGTTTCAGCTGGATTGTTGCAGGCGTTGACTTAGGCGGAAGGGCCGGTTAGTGTCCCCACAACACATCAGTTCGCTTCATACTTCGTACCTCGCTGTCCCTGTGTCGATAATGTTATTGGTTTGCATAATACGTGCGTTTGTTTTCCTTTTACCTGAAAGCTGGTGACGTAGCCGAAAAGGACAGTCTCTGTACCTCATTTTAGAACAGCCATCGTAAATAAATATAAAAAGTAACAGTTTACAACATTGAATAATTGAAATCTTGCAGTGAAATGAAGGCTTGAAGCAAGGAAGAACACTGGCTTCATGAAGGATCAGTGAGAGGACGCTTTTTCAGTGGGCCCTGAGGGGGGGGGGGGGGGGGGGGGGGGAGGAGGGGGGGGGGTCGAGGGTACTGACTGTATCAGAGCGCTTTTCTTCCTTACGAACTGCTGGATGTTCGAACTCGCTATTTATCACGTGTCATGGTGACAGATTTTTAATTTATCATGAAAATTAATCGCGGGTTTGGGTAAACATTCTCTTTATTTATGATTCTGTCAAAATGCGTTCTTTTCTATTCGTTTTTAATGGTATCGTTTACTGAGCGCGATATGGGACAACCAGTTTTTCGTCAGCTGTAATTTGTTTGATGCAAACAACAGGGACACGGACATCGCACTACAAGGATGTCTCGAAGTGGGCTTACGTATCGCACTTTTGGCACTGGAAAGCACGTGGGATTTTATTTAATAAAATTACAGAGAGACAGACATTTCTCCGAAAAACAGTACGCCATGACCCCGTGTTTGGCACTCATTTGCATTTGGAAGGCCGTGAGTTCAAATCTCGGCCCGGAGACTGACTGTCTTGACTTTGTGGTTTTTTCCGCAGTTTCTGCAGGCGAGATAGTAGGCCAGGACTACAATCTTTCACTTGGTTACTAATTCAATATTCATTAAATATCTTATAATTCGAACGTACACACTTGCGATGTTGAGAACGTCGCTAAGTGCTTCATAAATAAGTAGCCTATATAAATGAAATTCTGTATGTCCGTGTCTTTTACCATTTATCCGCCAGGTCTCGCCAACTGGTACTTTATCACACCCTCAGTCTTCCAGCGCTTGGGTAGATTGCGTCATAAATTCTTTCCAGAACTTTTTTTTTGTAACTATTATATGAAAATTGCAAATTTTACAGCTTCTTGAGATCTGAGGTTCTCACGGCTGTCTTCTGTGATCTAGCAACATCCTGATGATGGAGGAAGTAAGTTCCTCGGTATCGTTGGTTAGTTTCTACGATCCTGAAAAGAGCAGCATCCCAAGAGACAGATGCATTTAAGTGGCGTCTCTTGATATTTTTGCCTATATATGTATAATGCTACTTTTCTTTTCGTACTCTTGCTAAATATTTGTTTTGCCCACAAATTTTATTAATGGTTTCGTATGATTCTCAGTGTAAAAAGGGGCTATTTCCTTAAACAGCGTTAACCATTTGATCTTTGTAATGGTGAAGTGTGGTGTTTTCTTCGCGGTACGGACTGAATGCTTAAATGTTATTTAGATGATCTTCGGCTTCAAATGGCTAATATCTCCTACAGTTTGCGTAGTTTCCAGCCACAGGTAAAATTTTACGGAAAATTATAAATGATACGGAACTATCAACAGATTATTTTCTCTAAATGAGCTAATTAGGACAGCACATTCATATCGGAGTCCGTCATCTTGTAATTTTTTATCCGGCCCTTGTAAGCGTCAAGGTATGGCATAAATGTACCAGGCTGCATGAATTCATTTCCCTCCCTCGTTGTTATGTTATGTCAGAAACTTATTCTGTGTCTTGAAATCAAAGAATAAGTCTGACTGTAATGTGGAGCTATTTTGATAAAAGTAAAAAATAGCAAACTCGATGAACAGAAGCAGCTTAGGAACGGAAACAGTCGAAGTGTTTGATGCGAAGAAGATTTTTCTGGTCCAGTGAACCGTTTCAGAGAATTTTATGGGCCGCGGAGCACAACATGAGGATGTAGGGTTGCTTTAGTAACTTCGTAATAAGTCGGCGACTAATGGCAATATCTTCCTTGTAAGAGTAAAACCGGTTGCTGAGGTCGTCAAGAAATTATCCGCACTTATTTGCTATCAGAAAGTTCATTGCAGTTTTGACAATAGCCGGCCACTGGTCTCTGTCCTGAGTCACCTCAACCCCTCCCCCCCACACACACACCCATAAACACAGAATTTCATTTGGATACATTTTAATATTATCCTTTAAAGTAGGCTCTCTCCTTACGCAATTTTGTCCTCAGCCTCTGTTAGAGTGATCTCAATTTATATTTTTAGGCGTCTTAAAACTCCTTAGATGAGCCAGAAGGGAGTGAAGGTAAAATTACACGCATGCGACTATGATGAATAGACATATCGTATCATTTTACCTGAGAAGTACCAAAATATGGTTTGAAGAAATTGTAAATAAATCGCAAAATTACGACCAGTGTCTAATTTATGATTATTACAGAGACAGTATGGAGATATGTAGGTAAAAGTTCTGAGCCTAACCGCGTTCAGCACTAAAATTTGTTCCTTGAGCTTCTGAAATCGCCTTCCTCGTGATTCTCGAAACCACCTCTCGATTCTCTCGAACCATTACGTATAACTTTAGCACCTCCGTATTACATGGGTCCCAGATTCGAATTCCGTCCCAGAGATCAGCGCAGTTTTATAACAAGTTAGGCGTTTGAATTGTATATGAGGTTTTAGTACCGCTTTAACGTTACTAAACATCTGTATGCATTTGTTGTTTCTCCCTTGCATTCCCGTTTTGTATGTATTCTTTTATCCATGCATTCGTCCTCATGTGGTAAGTTCACTGTGTGATGGTAATGTTAGGGGGTGGAGCTGAGTAGGTGCGCGCGCAGGCAGCCCGCTGGCGGTCGGACGACGTGCGTGATACAGTAGTCAGTAGGCCGTTGACGCTTGTGAGGTGTAGAGGCTATGTTCTGTGGTGGTGTGAGGGTGTAGTGCTGCTATGGCGAGCGGCAGACGCCACGCCGGGGGACGTAATGGACGATACCTCACAGTCAGCGTCTTACATCTAGTCACCATCATGTGTCAAGGTACAGCCAACAGTGACCCTCCTGAAGGTTTCGCGACGCGACCGAAAACTTTAAACTTTGAGAGTTCAGGTGTTCACGGCGATGAGAATTTTGATTTTAGTAATCCGGGATAGTAACGTCGTTTGGAATTGTAGGTCGATATTTATGTTTCGGAAGAACACCGTTCCTCCATCACCCGCCTTGAATTTAAATTTTTAACTTGGAAATAAGATGCCCGAATTCACTGCCTGACGTAAGATATCAACGATAAATACAAGAAAACGTGGGATGTAGTAAGATGTTCAGGATCCCGGGACATAAAGTTTTATATTGCATGTCTCAGAAAGACACAAACGCCTAAGACATGGTTACCTGCAGTTCATAACTTGGAACGGTGTTCCGAATTTTTTTTTTCACTCGTGGCACGCCTTTAAGTTGCCAAAGACACAAGACGGCACACCATAATTTTCTTTACTCTCTTGAAAGGGGGTACAGAACTACAAATGACCATAAATATATTTGTACATATAAATTCTTGCCCTATGATAATCCAGACGTATGAAAACATAACATATTCCGAATAAAACTACCGATGATGAACCAGTGTGTTTGAGTATATAAATTACGAAAGGATAAGACACTGCCTTTTTCTGACTGTAGCGTGTAGTCTGCGGCACACCTGGAACATTATGGAGGCATATCGGTTGCCAGTCACTGATGTAATAGTGCAGGTGTGGCCCCAGTAGTACTCACTGAGCGATGGTCTGTCCTACGAAGGGACGTATCCTGTCCGTGGTTACGCAAGGCGTGGCTCAGGTCCCAACATAGAATAGATGAGAGTATATTACTTTACATGTGATCTTGGTCAGGGTTAAATGTTTTATGATTCAATAGGTCCACGAGGGTAACTTTTTTCCTTAACTTTTTTACAATTTATAGATTTGTATTTGTGTCTTTATATCTCAACAGGAAATAAGGGTACCATGATGGTACATTCGCGTTTTTCAGTACTCATCCTTTATTATTCAAGTAAAGTGTGCCCGGATGAAGCTTTGTTTTTCTGAACGTGAATGTCGGTAGTTTTGAACTTTCAAACATTTTTTGGTAATGAGTACGTAAGCTGTTTTAACATAAATGACGTTACTAATTATTTGTGTAATTTTTTTATTCACGTATTTATTCATAAACTCAACATTCATTAAACTTTAAAAGAGAAAATTGCGCAGGCTAATCATTGTTTTTTTTTTGTTTTTGTTTTTTTAATTTACACTGTTGTATAATTTATTTGGATTTGGCTTAAAACTGGTGGAATTGTTACTTTTCGGAGTTCGCTTCAGAGACCAACACACCATTTCAAATAAGGGGTGTGGGTTTTGTTTCATTTGAAGTGGGCTGATTTTCAGCGTGTTGACATTACGGTATTTTGAATATATTTTTCAGAACCCTTTGTTTAAATATATGAAACTGGGCGATGTTTCGTGAATTTAAACATTGAAGCATTTGAAGCTTATCGCATTCTATGAGAATAGAGAGTGATGGAACACTTATAAGTGCTGCTCTTGACTGAAGCGATTTCTGTATGTCGCCCCCATTCGACTGTTAACACGCGTCTACGTAGATGTCGTGAACTGCAGGAACCTTGGCTTATCTAAAGCCTACCCCGCGCAGTGGCACAGCGACTTCAGTAGACAAGGGCGTATGCCACTTACGCACGCAGAATTGTATTTCGAGAAACTAGTAATACAATTTCTAACTAAACGTGAATTACGTTTATGCTCATGCGGAAATCATAATTTAATTTTCTTCCTCGAGTACTCGTTTGTAGTTACTAACGAACGTTTCGGAGCAACATAATGTTTCCATCTTCAGGGCTGAAAATATTTCACCGAAACGTTGACATATACCGATAAGAATACGCGAAACCAAAACCAGGAAGGGAATAATAATTTTCACCACCGCGAAAGACCATTATTTGTTTGGCAACGGTCGCACTGTAGCACCGCAGACTAAAAGCCAGATGCAATGCCTGTTCCACGCTAACAATAATTTATACCGGAAATTATTTAACATTTTTATACGTACTATAGATTTTCTGTCTAGTTTCTCTCCGATCGTCGGTCGCATGGAAATAGACATGCCAGTCCTCTAATTAAGAAATAATTTCTCATTCACATCGAAGCCAGATGCGTTGAAAACTGTAGTAGCTGTTACAGAGTCGATCTCTTTTTGAAGCATTTGCTATCAATCAAGTGATCGGGCCGTAGAGGGCGTACGGGCCTTTGTTAATGAAAGTTGAACCTCGCAGGTGACTGTTCTAGTCACCGTTCGCCCTAGTACTGTCCGATGACACAGGGATCGAAGAAGTCGATGGTAAAATGAAACAAGTTACACAAATCTAGGTTGTGGGCCTGTGGATTTCGGAGCAAAATACTTTTTCCATCCTCATTATACGATGAAGGCAGCAGGTTCCTCCGAAGCTCTGATGTCAACTACGACCAATAATTACAACTGACTTGGAAAATAAGTACGGAAAATCACAGTAAAATCGACAGAGGATTAGACATAGACACTCTAAAACTCGTGTGTCCACCAGCTACTCCCAGTTATAATATTTATTTTTCGTTAATCGTAACGATATTTAACGTTGAATAATAATGAATATTTAGCGCACTTGTCGTAAGGGCAGGTGGCCCGCTGTGCTTTCGGTTTCCCTGTCGAATGTTTCGTTGACTGACTGTGCTATTTAGTAAATATCTTGGCGACATTTGACCTGCAGGCAACTAGCAAGTCCGGTTGTGTTTGATTCAGTTGCCACATCGTAGCTTCGAGGTCGTTAAGGATTCTTCTAGCTAACTGTGACGTATGAAACACAGCGTCGACTGTGAGAGGGCAGCCATAAACGTCATAATGCATGCATGGGTTCTGCAACGACAGTGTAGGAGAATTACATGGGGAAGTGACTTCTGTTTTATGAATGGCCTCGGGTTCATTGCAAGGTTGTATAAATGCACGCGACCGTCAGTAGAGAGTAATTATGAATTGTAAATCATTGAAAATGTTACTCGTTCCTGTTTGAAAGTATAAATGCCAGTAGCTTAACTGCGTCCGTTGATTTCAAACACTGAATATCCGTGTTCATTTTGACTACATTTATTTTTACATCAAAACTTAACTGATTTCTGTAACAGAGGATGGTTTCGGATAAAACGTCGAGTTTCGAGTGCTCCTATAACCGTATATAAACTGTGTGCATCACAGTCACGGTGAAATCTGGCGTAAAGAATTTTGATAAAAAAACACTTTAAAATAATTGTCCGTCCCATTAAACTTGAGTGAGATTAGAGGTTCTTACAGCGACGAGTATGAAGGTGCCTGGCGTCTGGGATGCTGCACTGTGCAGATATCGACGTTTCACATTCTCCTGTTGATGGAGGCAGTAAGCTCCTGTGAAACGTCGGTCGGTATCTACCGCAATACATGCTGCAGCATCTCAGAAGACATCTCCATTAAAAATACTTTTTATATTTTAAGCACCCGAGTTTTATAATTGGATATACATTTACAAATTATGTATGTATTATAATAATATGAGCCCAAAGTCAACTTTATTGAGTGATTACTCTTATTAATAGAGTGTGTCTGCTGAATTATGTCGTATGACCTTATTCCACTCTCGGTTAATTCTCGACTGTGCCGATGGTGCTCATCGCTTTTGGGTTCTAGCTGCGTGCCACTGCGTCACATCGTGGTGTTCTCTTTGCACACGTGTTGACCACCGCGTAACTAACTAACTGCTCACGTTATTACACGTAACGTGATACAAATGAAAACGCAATCTTGCATGTCTTATTGTTCTTGATGTTCAGTTATTACAAATACAAACCTGTAGTCGACTAAGTTGACAAACGGGAAATAGAGTAGGTCTCATGTAGCTTATTGTAATTTACAAATAATAGCTACAGGATGAGTTATACAGAGCAACACAGAAAGAGACGGACAACCATCGGTGCCTTGAGCTGGATTCGAACCCACGATTCCAGTATCTGAGCGGTGAAGGCCCATTTCATCAGATCAGGCGGCCCATTTGACCCGAATTTCAACTCTCTTGGGCCCAGATAATTGTGGGCACGACGACAGTGACGAAAGAAATATTAATAAAATATTTTACGGGCATGAAACTTGACTCATGTCATTTTCAGACATGGCTGGCGAGATCCGAAACACTGAAGATAGGAGCATCAGTTGTACCAACAACTGCACGTTCTAAATGGATATGAATGTTGATTTATCGCAGCGGACTGTCAAATGGCAGTTAATTAAGGTTTATGGGCGTTAAAATGTGAACCGTACGGATAGTATATGAACGCGTTGTAAATTTGGAATTGACATCGACTTTGCAGATGATTTGAAACTCTGTTGGCCCTACATTTGTTTCCAAAACGCGCAATATTTAACCATCTTCTCCGTAGTTAAAACTTTTACTGAATGTGGTCGTGTCTGACCTTTGGAATGCGCTTTGTAAAGCTCGGTGTTAATGTATTGGCATCGGAAGCGACTTTTATGTTTCGTAGCTTTCGTGGTCGCTGTACATCGCGGCGGGGTACAAATGCAAAGGAATGGAGCTCAGCTTTCCTAGAGGGGCTGCATGACAGAACAGAACAGAATAGACCTCATACGACATTATACTAAGCCAGGAACGCCTCGTAGTAGAGCAATTATCAAGCTTTTTCCAGCTACGTAAAAGACGGGCTTCAGCGTTGAAGCACCTCGCTTAGCTGCTAAGCACTTGCGTGTGCCGAAACGCGCTCTTCAGAAAGTTAACCGCGTTTAAAGCTCAGTGCGAACTATGCGTACAACCCGCTTTAAAAAAATAACTTTTCATTTGGCGTAAGAGTCTTTCACGATTCTCGATTGACGCTGCTGGACAGACCGAGTCGCAACTGGGAAGGCAGTTATGAATAAGACTTTCGCGTGTAATAGTACAATGCATACAGACAGTTCGTAATTATTTGACTTCCATT